GAAGTGTCTTCAGCAAGAGGGTCTTATCAGCAGTGGCAATAGACTTTCTCATTTGGGGGGCCTCTGGTCTTGGGATTCAGCAGCTATAGGATTATGAAAACTATACTATCAAGGCCCACTGCTGTGGGGAGACCCCACTACTTGCAGCAGCTGTTCAGCTAGCAGAGCAATGCCAGGCACAGCTGCAGGGATGGGAGGTGCTACCTCATTTAACTCCTTGTCATCCACTGTCGCTCTCCAGGAGCCATATCTAGCCTTTTTATTGGCCATACCGGCTGTTGAAAGGGCTCTGGGCTAGGCAGATGCTCTCTACCCTGTCTAGCTGCTGGGTGGTTTCTTTAGTTTCATCCTGGCCCTTGGGAAGCCTAGACTGTTTGGTATTCACCACTGTTTGGGCCATGGGTAACTGTACAGGTTTCCACCTCACCCTCGAATGCATTTACCATTTCAACCCTCAGCCAGAACTCCAGACAGTAATCTGCAGAGTGTGTCCTACATAGCAGGGCATGCACCCTTAGAATGTTCCTTCACAGGGGAGAGATGCACACATCATATATTCTCTTGGGAAGATAATTACCCACCTTCAGAATGAGTTTAGACTATATGGTTTTATCCTCCACACCCATCCACCACCACCCAATGACCCTGGTGCTTTTGGCGGTAACATGAATCAATGCTGTGGGATGGTCTGTATGTCAAATCTGTTGCTCTGATTGGTCAATAAATAAAACACTGATTGGCCAGTGGCCAGGCAGGAAATATAGGTGGGACTAACAGAGAGGAGAATTGAGAGAACAGGAAGCTGAGTGACAGAGACACTGCCAGTCACCACCATGACAAGTAGCATGTGAAGATGCCGGTAAGCCACGAGCCACGTGGCAAGGTATAGACTTATGGAAATGGATTAATTTAAGATATAAGAACAGTTAGCAAGAAGCCTGCCACGGCCATACAGTTTGTAAGCAATATAAGTCTCTGTGTTTACTTTGTTGGGTCTGAGCGGCTGTGGGACTGGCAGGTGAGAGATTTGTCCTGACTGTGGGCCAGGCAGGAAAACTCCAGCTACAAATCAATGTATGTTCTGCTCCAATGTCCACTGGGGCCCGTGTATTCTGTATATGTATTGGTGAGGGATCAATAAATCATCAACTCTACACAGGCTTCCTGTTGCCCTGTGTGGCCCTCACCTATGAGCTCAACTTTGGTCACCCCTACAGAGGAGTGGCCGGGGAGGCTTCCATCCCAAAAACATTCATCGGTGAGAGCTGCAGTGGGGATCAACTGCACCTCCTGGTCACTTTTCCCTTTACCCCTCTGGTGAATTGCTGGTTTGCCCCAAAGCTCTCCACAGATCAACCAACCAGCACAGGGCTTGGTTGCCCATCAGTTTTGTCCCTAGGGATTCCTGTGAGGCACAAGTCCAGCTACATCTGTGTTCAGGAGATACAGAGAGGCCCTTCTGCCTGGCTCACTCCCCTCTCACTCGCTCCTACTTGCTTTAACACCCGTGAACCAGGGTTTATGCTCAGGTTCAAGTCGTTTAGGTTGGCCAAAGCTCCTCCTGTAGGTAGGTAGAGGTCCCTACCTACTATGAGGCTCAGTACCTGCTACCAATGCTCCATACCGCTCTCACAGTCTTTGCTGAATCCATTTCTCTCTTTCTTAGGTCTCCCATGAACTAAAGTCTTGTCTGGACCTGTGAAGTGGGCACCCAACACCACTTCCCACATGCCCAATTCCCTTTGTAGGGCATGCCCTTTTACTGTTTTCCAGTCCCTGATATCCAGGGAGACCTCAGCTACAGATAGATAACCAGATGTCCCTAGCGGCTCCTATGAGCCACTCCATTGGGGACTGATCCCTCACATTGCCCTATATTGTGAAGCTTTTGTCTCGAGGAGGGACGGGCGGTTTCCTTACTCAGCTTCTATGCTTCAGCAGCACTCAGGCTGATCTGTCTGTCCCATATCCACAGCCTCACAAGCCAGGTGACAAGGGGCTCCTACATTGCTCATTTGGAAGTCTTCCCTAGTTCCCACAGCCCTGTCAATTGTTGTGGAATATGATTTTAACTCGGCAAAGGTGTGTTACATTTGTTCATGCTGCAGAACATCTGACTATGTAAAGGTGCGTTACATTTGTTCATGCTGAACATTTGACTATGTAAAGGTGTGTTGCATTTGTTCATGCTGAACATTTGACTATGTAAAGGTGTGTTGCATTTGTTCATGCTGCAGAACATCTGACTATGTAAAGGTGTGTTACATTTGTTCATGCTGCAGAACATCTGACTATGTAAAGGTGTGTTACATTTGTTCATGCTGCAGAACATCTGACTATGTAAAGGTGTGTTGAATTTGTTCATGCTGCAGAACATTTGACTATGTAAAGGTGTGTTACATTTGTTCATGCTGCAGAACATCTGACTATGTAAAGGTGTGTTACATTTGTTCATGCTGCAGAACATCTGACTATGTAAAGGTGTGTTACATTTGTTCATGCTTGCAGAACATCTGACTATGTAAAGGTGTGCTATATTTGTTCATGCTGAACATTTGACTATGTAAAGGTGTGTTACATTTGTTCACGCTGCAGAACATCTGACTATGTAAAGGTGTGTTACATTTGTTCATGCTGCAGAACATCTGACTATGTAAAGGTGTGCTATATTTGTTCATGCTGAACATTTGACTATGTAAAGGTGTGTTACATTTGTTCACGCTGCAGAACATCTGACTATGTAAAGGTGTGTTACATTTGTTCATGCTGCAGAACATCTGACTATGTAAAGGTGTGTTACATTTGTTCATGCTGCAGAACATCTGACTATGTAAAGATGTGTTACATTTGTTTATGCTGCATTTGTTTAATGATGTAAAGATGTGTTGCATTTGTTTCACCTTGCCTGCCTAAGGCACCTGACTGGTCTAATAAAAAGCTGAACGGGCCGGGCGGTGGTGGCGCACGCCTTTAATCCCAGCACTCGGGAGGCAGAGCCAGGCGGATCTCTGTGAGTTCGAGGCCAGCCTGGTCTCCAAAGCGAGTTCCAGGAAAGGCGCAAAGCTACACAGAGAAACCCTGTCTCGAAAAAAAACCAAAAAACCAAAAAAAAAAAAAAAAAAAGCTGAACGGCCAATAGCTAGGCAGGAGAGGGACAGGCGGGGCTGCCAGGTAGAGAGAATAAACAGGAGGAGAAATCTAGGCTTGAGAGGAAAAGAAAAGAATGAGAGGAGGAGGAGAGAATGAGGGGCATGCCTGGGGTATGCCAGCTAGCCATCAGCCAGCCAGCCAGCCATAGAAACAGCAAGAAAGTAAGAAAAGGTAAAAAGCCCCGAAGCAAAAGGTAGATAAAGAGAAACAGGTTAAAAGAGAGCCAGTGTCGGGTGGTGGTGGCGCATGCCTTTAATCCCAGTACTCGAGAGGCAGAGCCAGCTGGATCTCTGTGAGTTCGAGGCCAGCCTGGTCTACAGTGTGAGATCCAGGACAGGTGCAAAGCTACACAGAGAAACCCTGTCTCAAAAAACCACAAAAAAAAAAAAAAAAAAAAAGCCAGAAACGTGCCTAAGCTAGGCTGAGCATTCAAAACTAATAAGTCTCTGTGTCATGATTCGGGAGCTGGTTGACGGCCTAAAAGAAAAAGCCTGGTGCAGTCACTCACTATTCTGACTGCCTTAGTCTTCCACATTTGACCATTATCAAGGCCTCTGCACACCAAAGCATAGATTTTTTTTTCCTTTCTCTATATTGAAGCTTTTCGTTCAAGGAATGTCTTCTAACTTTTGGGTTGCTCCCTTACCACAGAGTCCAGGTTTTGGGGTTCTAGGAGAGGCTCTGTATTACTAGCCTAATATTGGCCCTCTTTCCTTTTGGCCCCCAACTATAAAAACAATGGACCAATACCTCCAATTATGCTTCTCTTTCATCTAACTTACCTGCTAAGTCTCCAGCCATTACTGAAGGGCCAGTCTCTTCTCCCTCTCTCCCTCCAGGCTGCCACCTCAGCTTTGAGTAGACCCAATGCAGAGGCCAGGCTGCCTCTGCAGCTATGTGCTGAGATCTCTGCCCATCATGCACCATTCCTGGGCTTGTAATGCCTGTTTTCAAGGCATCTCCATACTCCCTAGGTGAACCCCACCCATCAAGCAGGTATGCCACTCCACACCACCCAGAGGACTACCGGCCTGGGATTTTCCCCACAGACAGGCTCCATCACTTAGGCGGTTTCACCTTAGATATCTCAGTCTCCACCCCCTTGTCACCATCCCGCAAACCCTATATGGATATCCACCATGTCAAAATGTCCTCTGTAAACAATCTCTCCCCTCCTCCATGCGACTTGGCTTTTTAGTTTGTTTCATTTCCCATATTATGGACAATACCATTGCTCTTCCAAAACTCCCACCTGTGCTGCTAAAATTCCTTTTTAGGGTGGTTGGGAGGAGAGGTAAACATCTCCTCCTCTGTGGGTCCCAAGGATAAACTGAGGCACAATTCCACCAAAGTTCACTCTGGGGGGGGTCAGTTTTTTGGGCCTCCTTACAGAGCATAGATGACTGAGTTATTCACTGGAATGTGGGTGCTTTCTCTTCCAGCCCCAAAGTCTTTACCCAGCACCGATAGTGGCTTTCTCAAAGTCACATAGGTGGAGTCCTCCCTCCCCGTCCCACAGTCCTTCCAGGCCTAGCCTCTTCTCAGTCCATTCTCTCAGGGACACTGCAGCTCATCCATAGGGCTCAGGTTGGAGCTGCAGTCCTATCTAGCCACTGGGGATATTGGCTCCTCTCCCCAGGTTCCTCTCTGGGCTCTTTGTCTTCTTCCTGTCAGGCAGAGGATTGCTCTGCTGGCTAGCGGAGGTTCCTGCCAGCCAGATAAACTCCTGGGACCACTCCCACCCAAGCTGGGTAGGAGACAGCATCCCTGCTCCTTCTCCCGGGTCCCCCTGCTGGAGAGGCCTAGGCTGCTGATGTGGATGCAGGTTGGCATTGGGGCTCTCAGCTCTGCAGAGGGAGGGGGAGAAGAGAGCTGAGGAGCCAGGAGAAGTTGGTGGGGCTGTGTGTGTCTGTGTGAGGTGCACACCCGCATAATGTATGATGCTGCAGTCGGCAGAATGTAAAGCCTCCTTCCACGGAATGATTGAGGCTCAGGCATTGTTCTCTCTCTCTCTCCTCTCTCCCTCTCTCCCTCCCTTCCCTCCTCTCTCTCTATCTCTGTCTATTCCTCCCTCCTTTCTTTCTCCTCTCTCCCTCCCTTCCTCTCTCTCTCTTCTTTCCCTCATTCTCTGCCTTCTCCCCTTCCCCCTCCTCCCTTTCTCTCCTCCCCTCTCCCCCCTCCCCTCCCAACCAGGAAGGAGGAAAATGCATTGAGTCTTCACTGGGTAAGTTCTCTGACCTTAGAAGTTTCTCTTGAGGTGTAAGGGCTACTGGAGGGGAGGGGTCTGGCTGGGAGACTGTATACAGTGGTCCCCATGGAGGTATCTGCAGAACAGGTGTAGTAGCAGATGAGAGTCCTTGGAGACAAGACGTCAGAATGGACCTCTGCAGCTCTGGCTCCCACATCTGGAAGAGCCCTGTGAGGTCTCTGGATTCCGCCCTGGTTACCAGCTTCCTGCTGACTGCAGAGAAAGAGCTGCTGAGATTGAAGCAGCTGCCAGATCCTGCAGATGTTGTGGTCCTCTGCTCCAGCTAACCGGAAAGGGCTGGTTTTCAAGAGTGTCCCAGCCATGTGGAAACGTCTGTAGGGGCAGGAATATCATGTATGTTTCCATGTGAGAATGTGAGAGTGATCAGTGTATATGCCTGGGCCGTGGAAAGTCAACTTGTGATGTGTGTGTGTGTGTGTGTGTGTGTGTGTGTGTGTGTGTGTGTGTCCTGTACTGTGGGCACAGGGCATGCACATCAGAGCTGAATGTCAAGTCTGTACACAGAAGGCATGTTGCACACGTGTGTAAGGTTTGTAATGCCTGTGTGGGCAGTCATTGTGAGTCAGGTACAATTTTTTTGTTTGTATTTTTGTGTGTGCATGTGTATACCTGGATGTATGCTCAACACAGGTGCATTGCATGTGTGTAAGCACAGGAGCATTGTGGGTGTGTGTGTGTGTGTGTGTGTGTGTGTGTGTGCTATGTGGGTACAGATATGTGCTCTGTGCTGCATGTGTATGGCTGTGTGTGACATGTGTCCTGTGTACAACTGTGCGTTGTATGTGGGTAGCATCTGTGGAGGCAATGCTTCTCCTTAAGCCCTGCCTTGTTCTGATCCTCTGATCCCTGTCCTGGACAAGTAGTGCTGTGGGACTGTACATCAGGTTGAACAGAAGTGGATAAGCACCTGCCTCTGGGTGAGATGATCTGCTGCCTGCTCCTGGTCATCTTAGGGTTTATGCCATGGGGAGCTTCGCATTTGTCTACATGCCAATCACCCTGATGGGGAACAAGTGTTGAGGTATGTGGGTATGTAGGGCTGAGTATAGTGTGTGGTGTAGTATGTGTGTATCTGTTAGATATGTTGGATATTATATACTGTGTGTGTATTAGATGTGTTGTATATTATAAGGTGTATGTTTGTGTCTGTTGAGTGTGTTGTATCTTGTGTTCTATGTATATGTAGTGTAGAGTTTGCACCGTGTGTCACATGTGGCATGTATGTGTATGTGCATTCCAAGCTGAACGCTCATTTTGCTCCTGGGTTGGTGGCTGCCCTCTCTGGATCCCAGCCCAGCTCCTTCATAGTCATCCCGGGGAGCTGGTACTCCATTGTTCTCAGAACTCACACCCACTTCCTGCACTTGGCTCATCTGAGTCTCTATGCCCTCAGCCTCAGACACTTGCATTCCTGCAGGCAAATAGAAGACCCAGAGTCCGTGAGGCTCAAGGGCTGGTACTGCTGCTCTGGGCTTCAGGCTCGGCAGCCGAGCTCTCCCACACTCAGTCATAGGCTGGGAACACATGGTGCATTTTGGAACGTTATAGGACTGCAGCAGCAGCTGTATCCCCAGATAACTCTCCACATGGTGGCAGAACCATCCATCTCCCTATGCTGATGGCTGCTGTATTTCCACTTCCAGCCCTGACTCTAGAACCTTCCCCAATGCCTCCCCATTCTGCACCTCACTGAGGGTCCACAGGGCCTTAACCATGGTCTCTCAAACATGCATCCACCTGACCCACATCGACTCCTTTCTTGGTCTTTCCATCTGAGCCCTATCCCAGCATCTCCTCACTCCCTATAATCTGTCCTGATGCTATCTAATGCCTCATCCCAGCACCTCCTCGCTCCCTATAGACTGCCCTGATGCTGTCTAATGCCCTGTCATGCCATCTCCTGAGAGAGACCCTGATTTGTCCTTATCCCCTCCCCAGCTCCTGCCTGGCTGAGCCCTGATCCGTCTCACCTGACTGTCAACCTGGCCCCCTCACCTCTACCTGTGCCTCTACTGACTTCCCTGGGATCTGTGGGTCCCCTGAAGCCCTTTTAAGGCTGCATATTAGAGCATGTTGCTCCTTTGCTTAGAACCATTGGCGACTCCTGTGGCAAAAGACCCCTGGGCCTGTGAGACTCCCAGAGCTGTAACTGGGCTTTTCCCTGCTTACTCACTCAGCAGTGGTCACACAGTATCTCTCCTGGAGCCATAATATAATGTGTCCAACACCCTTCCCTGGAAAGAAGCTGCTGTCACCACCCACTAGACTGACGGGGAAACTGAGACTTAGATTTCCACAATAGTAGTTTTAAAGGGGGCTGGAAAAAATGGCTCAGCAGTTAAGAGCACCGGCTGTTCTTCCAGAGGACCCAGGTTCAATTCCTAGTACCCATACAACAGCTTACAACTGCCTGTAACTCCAGTCCAGGGGATCTGATGCCCTCCTATAGCTTCTAGAGGTATTAGGTACATGGCCATACATTCAGGCAAAACACCATGCACATAGAAAAATAAAAAGGAAAAAATTAAATAATATTAAAGAACAGACACAGATCGCTTATCAAGGTGAAGGCCAGGGACATTTTAGGCTTCACTGTTTCTATGCTCCTAACAACCCTGAGAAGCAGGTGTCCATCCTTCCTGTGCGTGGGTGGGTGTGCTGAGGCTCAGGGATGCTGTAGACTCAGGCTCAGCAGCTGAGCCCTCGGTTTTCTCGGTAGAGAGCTTGGCAGCATATAAGGTCCCCTCCACCTTCCACAGTGGGCTGTTTCCTGCATCCACACAGGAGAGGAAGCTTCATGGTGGCACCACTCACTGTTATTGCTGGGAATGGCAGAATACCATGCACACTCCATGACCTGCCCCAGTGCAGTATCCATGCTACACAGCACCAGGTCTCTGAATGCAGTGTCCTGGGCAGGTATCTATAGGATCCAGAGCCAGTATGTAGTCCAGCCCAACCCATGGCTGCCTCTCAGAGCTGCCTCTTCCTACCCCTCCAGGCCTGCCGGGCATCACAGGAAACACCGGCAAGATGGATGGCCCCAGCAATGTCTCACTGGTTCATGGTGATACCACTCTGGGCCTGCCAGAGTACAAGGTGGTCTCAGTCTTCCTAGTGCTCCTGGTGTGCACCACAGGCATTGTAGGCAATGCCATGGTGGTCCTGGTGGTCCTGACCTCACGAGACATGCACACGCCCACCAACTGCTACCTGGTCAGCTTAGCTCTAGCTGACTTAATTGTGCTGGTGGCCGCGGGGCTGCCCAATGTCTCTGACAGCTTGGTGGGGCGCTGGATCTACGGACATGCTGGCTGCTTGGGTATCACCTACTTCCAGTATCTAGGCATCAATGTCTCCTCCTGCTCCATCCTGGCATTTACTGTGGAGAGGTAAGTACCCACAGGCTACCCCATGCCTTCTTCCTTCTCATTGTCTGCCTTAATGAGAAACCAAGGAGTCTGGATTCAAGCAGGGATTCCTGGTAAATTGAGGCTCCACTGAACAGAAGGGGAGCTAGGCCAGTGTGGGGTGCTCAAAGAACCAGCAAATGTGGGCGTTTGCTCTGCTTCTAGATTACTGTAGGGTGTCAGGAAAAGTCCCTGCCTTCCTTTGAGTCTGGATTTCCCATCCGGAACACAGGGACTTGGATGGTCTTTCTCATCACCCCCCCCCCCCACTACTGGGGACTGAACCCTGGTCTCCCACCTACTAGGCAAGCCATACCTCCAATCTTTAAAAAAGTTAAACTTGAGATGGACTTGTTAAGGTTGACTATAAACTTGTGATCCTCCTGTCTCGGTCTCTCAAGAAACAGAAATAACAGGCTGCTCTACTGTGCTCAGCAATGGTGCGACTCGAGTCTCCCCCAGCTTGAAGGTTTTGTTTGCATGCTTGTTTGTTCATTTTATGAGACAGGGTTTTACTATGAATACATACTTGGAATAGCAAGCCGGCCTTGAACTCTCTTTGTAGCTGAGGCTGGCTCAAACTCCCTGCAATCCTACTGCTTCAACCTCCTCGGTCCCAATTATGAGTGTGTACCACCATGTCTGGCTTACCTCTGATTTTAACACCCAAGACAAGTGGCCCAGTGGTTGAACATGCTGATCCAAAGCATGAATTTGGGGTCAAACTCAGCTGTATCCACAGCAGGAGTTGAGGCTTTGGGCTCAGTAACTTGTTAGGGCTACTCAGAAGCTGAACAAAGCCCAGGTCTGCCATATCCAAACACTGGGTCTGCTTTTACAATCTGGGGACAAGTCAGCGTGGGGATGTCTCATCTGCACCATGTGATTGTCCCCAGGGGCCTAAGTGTGAGCAATAAAGAGATCTGCCTGTGAGCATTGTACAGTATAACTCCCTGCCTTTGGTGGAGGGTAGCAGAAAATGCTTTGACCGCATATGGTGGTCAAAGGCGCCTTTGAGAGACATGGAGGCACAGGACAGGACATGCCCAGGCTGCTTTCTGTTCCTCTTGGGAGGCTGGCTTTGTTCTGCCTCTCCTTGAAGTGTCCTCACCCTAAACCTTTGCAGCTTTCTACTTCTGCCCTTGCGAAGTGCAGCTCAGCCACCGTTACTCAAGGCTCAGCTTGGAACAGATGTCTCAGACATAAGGCAAGCAGTCCCATGGCCTCAGGAGCCAACATGTCTTGCCTGTGCCCCACAGGTACATCGCCATTTGCCACCCAATGAAAGCACAGACTGTGTGCACTGTGGCCCGGGCTAAACGGATCATCGCAGGCATTTGGGGGGTCACATCCCTCTATTGCCTACTCTGGTTCTTCTTGGTGGATCTCAATGTCCATGACAATCAGCGCCTGGAATGTGGCTACAAGGTGTCCCGAGGCCTCTACCTGCCCATCTACCTGCTGGACTTCACCATCTTCTTCATCGCACCCTTGCTGGTGACCATGGTGCTCTATGGGTTCATTGGAAGGATTTTATTTCAGAGCCCATTGTCTCAGGAGGCCTGGCAAAAGGCGAGACAACCCAATGGGCAGGGCGAGGGTGCACCAGGCAGCTGCTCTAGGTCCAAGGGCTCCATGTCCTCCAGGAAGCAGGTTAGGAGTCCTCCTGGGTACATGTGGGGGTTGCATGTGGGTAGAATTATGGGGAGAGGCACAGATGCAAAAGAGCATAAAACACAGGATATGACTAGCAAAGCAGGTAAGTAAGTGAGCAGTCACTTGGTCTCTTATTTGTCCATCCATCCATCCATCTATCCATCCATCCATCCATACATACATATATCCATCCATACCTTCATATATCTATGCTATGCCTGCCAAGCCCTTACATATGCCCGGTGGGTGCTAGGACACAGGGAGAACATGGAAACACAGTCAGTCATATGCCCTCCTTGAACTACTACAGTGGAACCAAGTAAACACAAGCCTGTCCAAAGACAGGAAGGAAGGAAATGTGGGGACAAATGATGCTGGGAAACAGGAGTTAGGGGATAGTTCAGGAGGCCTTGCTAAGAGGTGACAAATGGATAGAGCTCTGATGTTGACAAGGGAGAAAGCCAAGCTGGCTGTGGGGAAGCATTCCAGGAAGAGGAACAACCAAGGTTGAGGCTGAGGTGGCAAGCTGAGCAGAGAAGGGACTTGGAATGTATAAAATGGGAACAGTCAGGAATGGGGAGAGAAAGAGGGATGAGTAGCTAAAAATGAGGTGGGCATGCCCAAAGTCACAGTGGGGACCCTCTCTGGGGCCAGGGACTTTGTAATAGAATTGTGTCCTTGGAAATCCAACATTTGGAGGAGCTCAGGGTGGTGGCTGTCCTGATCCTGTCTGAGTCCCAGTTCTGAGAGATGCCCCAAGACGCTGGTTTTGGCATCTGATGTATGTGGATCCCTGTGGTCAGCTTCTTCCCGTGCTTGGTGAGTGTGTCTCACAGCCATGCCCCGCCCCCTTTCCTCTCCACAGGCCACCAGGATGCTGGCAGTGGTAGTGTTGCTTTTTGCAGTGCTGTGGACCCCCTACCGCACACTGGTGTTACTCAACTCTTTCCTGGCCCAGCCTTTCCTGGACCCCTGGGTCCTGCTGTTCTGCCGCACCTGTGTCTACACCAACAGTGCCATCAACCCTGTCATCTACAGCCTTATGTCCCAGAAGTTCCGGGCAGCCTTCCTAAAGTTGTGCTGGTGCGAGGCAGCCAGGCCACAGGGGCGTGCAGCATGCACCACCGCCAGCAGCCACAGTGCTGTCCAGGAGACCCCAGTGGGAACTGAGAAGCTGCAGCTGGGCTCCAGTGAGGCCTCAGGTCCCACAGCAGCCGGGTCCCTGCATTGCCAGCAAGAGCCCCACTTCAGTGTGCTCTGAGGAGCCCTGCCTGGCCCCTGACTCCACTCCCTGTGTTGACTTGCTAGCTGGTCTGGTTGATATCTGCTCTGAGCGCTGGTGGATTGCCAGGAGAGGGACAGACAGCTTATTGCTTATGGGTCACCAGAGGTCCCTTTACCATGAAGGAAGACACTGGAATGGTCTCAGCTGGATCCTGTGTGGGTAGTTCTCTACTCTGAAGTGATCCCAGTGGGAACAGAGAGGAAAGTGGAGGCCCAGTCTTCACCCCCCTGTATGATCAAAACCTTTCGTTTATTTCCACTCATTACTTTAAGCATCTTTTGGGGGGTTCTTATTGAAGTACTGTGCTTCCAGGTTTTGATCACATCTGTCCCTTGTCACTGAACCCATGCGCACAGGTTTCAAATGTGGTCATTGGACAGTGGGGGTTACATAGAATGGGCGTCCAGCCAGTCACACTGGCACCCAGGGCTGCTCCATGACGTTCACCACTGGCCCCAGCACCCCTTCCAGTCTTCCATTACGGTGGGCAGCCCTGTAAGAGAGTGCACCAAGCAAGCTCACCCACCACAGATGGTCTTGAAGGAGACCATTTGTCTTCCCAACCAGCACCAAGAAGCTGCCTCTACCTCCTTGGCCCCAAATGTGCAAGCCCGGCCCTCCGGACCCACTGTGCCAGTGGCTGTCCTGCATGCTGTCTTTGCTTGGAGGCATGCTGCAGACTCAAGAGATGTCAGGAAAAGCTGCTTCTGGGAGCCAGCCCCATCACTGCCTGCAGGACTGCTGGCTGAGTCTGAGGACAGTCGGCCTCCGTGTCCCATACTGTAAATGGGGTCAGTGACCCTACCTTGGTCCTGGGACCTCAAAACTGAGGGACACTGTAGCAAACATGTTTCAACGAGCAGGAGTGGGCCACTCAGGGACTGGAGACCTCAGGAAGGCAGGAATTGGGGGATGCTTGCATGTGTGGGGGGGGCGGGGGTGGGGTGGGGGGCAGTGGTAGTTGGACCAGGTGATTCAGCCTACTTACACAGCTTCTGCCTTTCCAGCTGGATGTGGTCCTAGTGACTCATCCCTGCTCTGGGGACCTGGGGTACTTCAAAATTGATGTGGCTTTTTAGGGGCTCTGATTGCTGAGTCTGGTCTGGTAGGGTAGGACATTTAGAACCTCACGGGGGAAGAAAGGGCCTTACCAAGGGGAAACACAAAGGTTAGGGCCACCCAGGGCAGCTAGAGCCCTAGCTGAGGTCTCCCCGTGCCGTAGTCTCCAGCCTGGGAGGCACGTTCTCTGGAAGCCCACGTACCAGGCTGGCTGTCCTGGGGCAGGACTTGCCCCACCCTCTACCTGAGCCAGCGGTTCCTGGCATCTTTTGTGCCCCTTTACCCTGTGACTTAAGACCATGATGTTCTTCCTTACCACACCCATGTGACATGCATGTGTCCCCTGGCTGATGTGTCCAGACAGACCTGATCCTTAGCTCTGCCCTGTCTCCTGCGTCATTATCTGAGATCAGAGCTTCTGTCCACTGTGGGGTAGTCAAATGTGGGGACAAACACGGAGGTGGCAGGACAGGTCCAGCCATGGTCTCTCATGCTGCCCGGTCTGCCCGTGTGAGCTGCAAGCACCACACCACCCAGCTGTGTGACCTCTCTCTATGACTGTGGCCTGAACAAAACATTGCTGACATCAGACACACCAACTGTTTTCCTGTCCAGTCTCATCTTTCCTAGTTGCTCCCTGGAAGCACACTGTCACCAGCATGGCTGCATGGCATCTGTTGGAGGTATGTGGCAGCCATCACCTCACCTCACTACAGCTTACACCGGCCTGTGCTTTATGTAAGCTAGTGCATGATGCTGACAGCCCGGTGGTGGAACCCACAGGAGTGGCCGACGCCTGTTGACTCAACTCTATACACTGTCCTTACCCCCGGGCTTCCCCAGTGGCACCTGAGCACTGCCTTGGCCCATCCTGAAAAACTCTCTCCTAGTGTCACAGCGAGAGTTGGGCCCTTGGTTCTTGTACCACCTTGAGAAAGAATTCAAACAGCTCACGAATAGTAGTCGCAGAAGCTAAACTGAGCTGCATCCCCAGGTCCAGTGAAATTTCACTGAAAGAATGCAAAGCAGTCAAGACGGGAGTCATGAGAGAGCTCTTTCCATGTCCTAAACTTTGCCCTCCTGACCCCAAGGTGGAGTTCTGAAGTTGGATAACTTCAAGAGCCATGTGACTTACTGTCCATTGCACATGTCTCTGCCTAGAAGTGACCTGCAAAGTCCATCGGGGTCAGAACGGCAATGCCAATGACATAGTTTAGTGAGCTTTAGTCTCTGGAGCTGGGGTCTGGCTGGCTGAATCTAGTTCTTTCCCTAGTGTATGTATCGGAGGCAGCTGAAGCATCCTTACTCCGGAAGCTGCAAGTATAAAATGCTATATTCCCAGAATCCTGAATTTTAACCCCTTCTTTGTTTTGTTTTTCAAGACAGCGTTTCTCTGTAAAATAGTCCTGTCTGTCCTGGAACTCACTCTGTAGACCAGGCTGGCCTCAAACTCACAGAGATCCACCTGCCTCTACCTCCCAAGTGCTGGGTTTAAAGGCGTGCACCATCACTGCCTGGCTTTTTAACTCCTTCTTGTCCAGTCTTGTCTAGCTAATCACTAATGTCACTGTGATTATGTACTTAATGTCACTGTGCATGGGGAAGGAACAGAGTTCTGATCATCTCCAGGTATGGCCAGAGCCACTGGCCGTCAGTCTGTAGATACCTGAAGAAGAGGTGCCTGTTCAGCGGGACAGCCACAGAAGGAAGCTGTCCACAGATCTTGAGCTCTGCACGTTAGCAGTAAGAGCTGCTTGCGGTGTACAGGACAGCAGCCACTGGGGCGCCAGGGCAGTGGCCTGTGTCAGATGTGGAACTGAAGATCCCATCATGACAGACATGCCTCTTGATGCTGCACACCTGGTGGTACTCACTTTCCTGGGTGAACTTGGGTCTTGTAGGGCCAACTCAGACGGTGGCTAGGCAGAGCTCTCGAGGTCAGCTCCGTGCCATCCTCCAAGATCACGGTACTTCAACTCTGTGCCCAGCTGTTGCCTTCTATAGCCTCTCTTTTGTGGAGCATGAGGTCAGTGACCACTCCCACTCTTGGCTTGGAATGCTGTTTGATAAAGTTGCTGGTTGGCTGGTGAGTGTTGCCTAGACATGTGGTGTCCTATTATACTGGCTTTTTTCTGTTGAGTGGTGACCTTATAGCTCTGGTATGGGATGAAGCAGGTCAGCAGCCCCCAGGATCGCATGGGTCTTGTAAATGGGGTAGATGTTCGGCCACTGTGGACTCCTGCCCCAGAAGCAGGCTGCCCAGGATATGCTGAACACCCTGGAGGACAAAAACCATGGAGCAGACCTCAAGGGTCCCTCTGGCCCTGAATCGGGGTCTGCTTTACATTTGTAGCAAGAGCTCTCTCCTGAGGAGGCAGCTGAGAACCCATGAACGGAAAGATTGCAGAGAAAGACATGCGAGACACGAGCCTTCCTCAAGACTGCCTGATGACACACAGACATTTGTAAAGGTATACATTTGCTCCTGTGTGACATAAAGTCTTTTACATACATGCAAGCTGTGCTTGGAACAGGCTTGGACAGCCTGTCTTATGCATGCTTTCCCTGGAGGCCACGTGATCATGGATGCCTGCTCCTAAGCTTGGGCTCTGGAACTTTCTCAGGTCACAGCATACTACAGACACCTTGTCTCTCTCCCATGAGACCCAGGAAGCTCCAGGTCCTCCACAGTCAGGTACAGCTACTCAGTCAGCAGTCACTCAGGGTGAGCCCTGAAAGATGCTGGCCTACTCTATGACATGATGATGATCTCCTTCCCTGAGGAGGCTAGGTGCTTGCTCAGGGTTTCCCACAGACAAGCAGATGCACATTCCTGTGAGGAGTGTGGTCTAGTGGCACAGTAATTAGCCTTTAAGCACAGGGCCTGGCAGCCCCATTTGTCGCCCGCAGTTCATCTTAAAACCACCTAGGTAATTGGGAGGCCATCAGTGTGGGTATTATGGGATTTGTTAGTCTTTCTCATTCCCCGCAGCTGCTGGGAGCTGCAGATGCTAGAAGACAAAGTACCTACTAATCTTTCTTTGAGTGTCCTAGGCCCTGCAAGGCAAATAGGAGTCAGAAATGAAAAATAAGGAAACAGGTTAATTCTTGTTGGTGAGAGAGGGGAAGGGCCTCCATATTCATAGTTATTTTACACGAGACAACCTGATGGGTTAGCTGCTTCCTGTGCTGGGTTTGTTTTGTCTTTTTTAAAAAATAATTTATTATTTTTATTTTCTTTGCATTGATGTCTTGCCTGCATGTATGTCTATATGAGAATGTCAGACCTTGGAGTTACAGACAGTTGTGAGCTGTCATGCTGGGAATTGAACCTGGGTCCTCCGGAAGAGCAGCCAGTGCTCTTAATTGCTGAGCCATCTCTCCAGCCCCCTGTCTTTTATATTTTCAATAGATTACGTATATATGAGGTGGGGTTTGTGTTCATGACTGCAGTGCCTGCAGAGACCAGAAGAAGGCATTGTATCTCCTGGAGCTGCAGTTAACAATGGTTGTGAGCCACCCAGTGTGGGTGCTGGGAACTGAACTCAGGTCCTCTGCAAAAGTAGCAAGCGCTCTGAACTGCTGAGCCATTTCTCTAGCCCTCTGTGTCTATTCTGTGACTTTTTTTTTTTTAAGGCAGGGTCTTGCTATGTTGACCCAGGCTGACCTTGAACTCTAGATCCTCCTACCTACAGCTTATGAACTGAGGAGCTGCTCTTCTGAACCATGATCAAAAGCAGGGGGTTCTGTCTCACAGCGTCTGGCAAGGGGAACTCCTGAATGGAACAGGGAGGGGCCGATGTTGAGGGATGGAGTCAAGCACAGGAAATAGACAATAAAGCCGGGCACCTGACCAGGTAGGCATCTGTGATCCAGTTTGCTCTCTCATGGATGGGGACAGGAAGCCCAATGCAGCCTGTGGCACATTGCTGGGACAGTTCAGGAAGATGACAGCTAGAGGTGGCCAAGGAAGGATGCCCCAGGATGAAGCCCCCGTGGAGGCCTTGCAGAGGAGAGCAGCCCTGCACCAGCCACAGAGAACAAAAGCAGGCAGTCTCGTCTGGTTTGGCTCCCCTGAGACCCACTGGAACGGAAGACAGAAACAGCTGTTGTTCTGGGGAGGGGGTGATTTGATTTGGGAGGAGGCAGGGAAGGAAGAAAAGTGAATAAAATGTACAATATGGAGACAGTCGCACCTGACTTGGTCCCACTGGGGACCTTATGTACAGCTGTGAGGTTTGTCCTCCGCATCCACCCTCCCAAGGACAGATGGCATTTGCCATGATCCCCATCCTCATTGGTTGATGGCTGCCCTGGGTATCAAACCTCTATTCTTGTGACCTCCATCCTGTGGCAGAGAAGAGCCAAGTGACTTAAGTGCTGGGCACCCACACACAGCATTGAGTTGGAGTGGGCCGAGGTAGGTGGTAGGGCACGCAGAGAATCCGCTACAGACACGGCATCCTCGAGGCCCTCAGAGCACACTGTCCTTGAACTCGAGTGCAAGATATAAGAAAATATGTGGACAAGACACCACGTTCAGAACAGACACTGTGCCAGGTGGTGCCACTGTGAGTGACGATAGCCGCTCAGGGAGTGAGGCACTTAATAGGTGTCCCCTAAGTGGCTCGTAAGTGACATGGATGCATGAGAAATAGAGGCTCAGCTCCCCTATACAGACTACAGAAAGCTGGGCTCACACAGATCAGGCCCGCTAGAGGAGACCCACTGCATCACAGATGGGCAGATCAAAGCTCCTATTTCTCTGCTGGGAAACCCAGGCCCTAGGAAGAGAGGGAACTTGCCTGTCTGTCTTAGTAATGCTGTCCTGGTCCCCACTGCTTGATGCTTGTAAGAACGACAATCTATTATAGTCCAGGGAACACAGAGGCTTCTCTTCTGGTCAAGTTAGAATTGCATGTACACAGCGCTGCGGCAGGTTTTGTAACTCCTAAAAATGATCAGGGTTCCTGATCTCTCTAGGTGATTAAGGGAAACATTCCACATGCTGTCCTGGCCCTGAAGGTGCCCTTGACCCAGGATGCAAAGGTCAAGGCAGGAGGAGCCCAAGGGTTCAGCCACAGGATGCTAGCACTGCATTTCTAGTTCAAGTGAAGAAAACCAGAATTCAGGCTGAGTCTGAGTTGTTTGTGCTGTCCTGCTGACTGGATTCAACACCGAACAAGCCACATAGGGAGAAGCAATGACCAGGGGACCCATTTCAAGATAAGGAGGGGATGAGAAGAGGTGGGAGGGAGGCAGATGGCCCAGGGATCTTCTAATAGGTCAAGGGATCAGGAAGTTGGGAGAGGCAGGAGTGGCTGAGGGAGATGGAGCCCTCAGGGGTCTCTTTCAAAACTACCAGGGCTTTGGTGCTGAAAAGGCACAGGCCTGGCATGTAAGGGTCCTTGGTCCTTGCTTGTGTTCATACCAACTGCTCAAGGCACCAATTGCTCAAGGCACCAGCTGACTGACACCTTTAGACACACTGGTTTCTGTCTTTTTTCTCAAGGCCTCACCGAAGATCCCACATGGCCCAGATAAAGGACAAAAGAAAGCACTTCCCACTTCCCACTGGGTGTTTGGTCCCCACCTGCATCCAGCTCAGGCTGGAGCTTGCAGACTCCATTCTACAGACCCCCGCTGACTGCCACCCACCCTCCCCGTTAGCTAAGCTGGACAGTTTCTCTGTTCCTCACAGCATTCCATTCCACATGCGCATAAATTATCTTTTAATTGAAAGTTTATAAGCTCTTTAATCTTGCTTATTGTAGCTGAGATGATATGTGTTTGTACAGTTTTATTAAATAATGAATGTCCTTGCCTCCCAAATGCCCATTTAGTTTGCTTTGCATGGCTGTGTGGGAGGTGGAGCAGGGGGGTAAAAGCCCTACATCTGCAATGCTTAAAACTTGTGGCTTTAGGGGCTAGGGGGATGGCTTAGTCGGTAAGGTGTCTACCACACAAGCATAAGGAGCTGAGTTCAGATCCTCAGCACCCGTGAAAAAGCTGGGCATGTTGGTGCATATCTAATCCCAGTGTTGGAGAGGGAGAGGCAGGAAGATTCCTGAAAACTCACTGGCCAGCCAGCCTAGCTGAATCTGGGAAATCCAGAGCTCAGTGAGAGACTTGGTCACATACACAAAAAAAAGTTGGGTGGGGCTGGAGAGCTAGCTCAGCAGTTTGCTCTTCTGCAGGGGATCTGGATTCAGTTCCCAGCACTCACACAGAGGCTTGCCACCACCTGAAACTCTAGTTCCAGAGAGTCTGATGTCCTCTTCTGGCCTATGTGGGTACTGCGCACACATAATGCACAGAAAAACATGTAAACAAGACATTCATACACATAAGACAAAAATAAATAAATCTGTTTTGTTTGTTTTTCAAGACAGGGTTTCTCTGTGTGGCCCTGGCTGTCCTGGAACTCACTTTATAGACCAGGCTGGCCTCAAACTCAGGGATCCACCTGCCTCTGCCTCCTGAGTGTTAGGATTAAAGGTGTGGGCTGTCACCACCACCCAGCAAAAATAAAAACTGACCTGACACATATTCATCGGCTTGTAAGTAGCTAAACAAACATGGTAACTCCACACTGTGGAGTGCCATTCAGAGTGGGAAAGAATGAGGCACCAGCATGCTCAGCAAGAAGATCCCAGAGGACGCAGTGCTGAGGAGGCAAGCCAGAGGCTACAGGCTATGAAACACCCATGACAGAAGCCTCCAGAACAGAGAGAGGTCTCCAGGTACTTAAGGGCTGGAGGAAGGGATAGGGGTGTGCCTGCTCATGGGCTCAGAGACCTCATGTGATGGTGGGGAGGCTCTGGAGCGAGTTAGAGGTGAAGGCTGTACAACTCTGTGAACCACTAAATATTACTCACTTGTGGGCGCTGAAGAGCAGAGAGAGGTAGTCTGTGAAGTTTATCTCAATTAAGAACAAGGTGGACCAAGAGACAGCTGAGGGATGTGGGCTGTGGGATTCCCCAGTGACCTTGGCTTATAGTGCAGTTCTGGGACCCAAGCCTCTCTGGTATAGGCTCAGGGCTGAGGTCTGTTGTGGTGTTTGGTGACCCTTGTTGGCACTTTGCCTCACTGAGACAAAACCGAGACAATGTGGCAAGGATTGTAAGATAATGGGTTGAAACACTAGCAGTGCAGCCAACCCTTGGGTTGG